AGGAACTTAAGGATTATGCAAGCATAAAAAAACAAACCTGTTGGGCAGTTTTGTGCTTCAGGCTTTGGCAGCTGTGATTTACAGATCAGATTTCCTGGTATTTCATTGGCATCGCCTCTGAAGATGCAGCCACAGTAGGCCTGAAATGTCAGGAAATCTGTTCTCTAGACCACAGTCACTAAAATGGGTGGGAAAATAAATTCTTCACTGGGAGACAAGAGGAGAGAAAAAGATCAAGGGAGCTTTACATTTAAATGATTCACATTAAAGGGACAATTTTCATCAGTGAATAAACTTATTAACCTGGGCACAAAAAACTGGGTCCCATTAAGATGTATGACACACTTACTTCCTCCTTTTTTCACAAAGCCATCTAAACTTGTTTCACCCTATTGCTATTTTATTTTAAATGTCTAAAAAGTGACTCACCCTTACTACTACAGTATTGTAGTCCTTTATTCCGCTTCTTCTTCCAAGTAAGATCATCTAAGTCAGAGGTTACCAACCTTTCTTGGTTGGTGGACCGGAGGGATAGGGAGGGGGGAAGCATTTCACACATGTACGCATGCATGCTCACGCACAGGGCCGCGAGCATGCGCATGACACAAATGGGGAAGGGATAGTGTTTGCGTTATACTCACTAGTCCTGACCCGTTATTGCGCACAATGCCGTTTCTGTGCCCCGAGACGTGGCGCCCATTTTCATGCACTGAGGCACGGTATCCCATTTTTGCGCGGAGGCGTGGCGTTGGTCTTTTTTTCGCCCCACAGTCCGGCGGCAGCCCGTTTTCACGTCCCGAGGCACAGCGTTGGTTCATTTTTGCACCACGCAGCGTGTTTTTGCACCCTGCAGCTGCAGCGCTAGCATGGGGGGGGGGATGTGCACGGATTGGCCAGCCTGTCCCACCACCCGGTGGCCAGCAGCCCACAGCCCACTTCCAGGCCAGAGCCCACAGTTGGGGACCCCTGATCTAAGTATAACACATTTTTCTCCTGTATCTCACTACATCTATCGGTACAAATCAATCACTCATGATTTGCAGAATTAGCCCAATTTTGGAGGTGCATACTCATCACTAAGCCAGATGTATACCGTACGTTTTTCTTTGGTTTACATTTCTTTTTAAATTAAGCATGCAGTAAATTATTCAGAAGAGGTGTGTTGTGCCAACACTGCCATTGTGTGATTTCAATTTAAACTTTGACTTGGAGAATCTCCTCATATTCCTCCTTGCAGATTCACATGACTACACCTATGAAACTCAATCCCTATAGCTGCTGGGCTCATAATAAAAGTTCCTAACCTTTCTTTCTTTTACAGGCACACTAGTTGTTTACGTTCTTTACATTTAAATTTTCACGGTGGATAAACATATCCTAATTTTCCTAATGCCCATGTGAAAAAAATCTATCCAGCAATCTTATACTGTTTTCAAGTCTCAAATCCAGGAGAACTTTTACTTCAAGCCTTGTAGCATGTTACTCTCCTCTCCACCAACGTGGTTTCCAAGTGCATTCAAAATTTTATTTATCAAATTTGGAAACTGCTCATCTGACTCAAAGAAGAACACTTCTGGCTTGTCAGTACAAACAATTGCCCTTAGATAGATTCTTTTCTTTCCCTATCAATACCCAAAAGTATTCTTGAGGATCCCAGAAAGGGAAAAATTAAGTCTTTCTCTTTCATCACCTCCGTAAGTCATCCCACTGGGTTTCATCCTTGCAACAGGAATCAAATAGAAAATATATAGTATAGCTTTTATTTAAATACTGTCTGTCAAAAAGACTTGTGTGGAGGAATTTGCATGTGCAGCAAACTGCCGTGCACTGCTCCCCACAAACCTCATAACCTTTTGATACCCTTTGTCCCAAGGAAGTAGCCAAAAGATCACCCCCTTTTGACTTAATATCTTACCTACCTAAATAATAAGTTCCCCCTTATCTCTTCCTGTCTTTATCTCTTCTTGTCTTTATCAGTTCTTTCTCCTTTCCTAATTTACCTATATTTGTTTTACCTGCTCTCAACAGGTAATGTGTTACTAGAAAATAATTGCTTATATGAAGGAATTTTTCAATTACTTTATGTCAACAACTAAAGATTAAACTTCTAAATGTAAAATGTCAGCAGTTAATGGAAAAGCCTATGTATGTAAAAAGTATATAAGAAACAATAAACTCAGAGTATGTCAAGCTGTGTGAAGCTGTGTCATGCAGCTTCAAAACCTCTGCTCAAGACATGCCTGAGTCTTTTTCTTAGCATCGTTACAGACTTGTATGAATTTATTGTACATATTCTTTTACATTTCATTAGTTAATGTAAGTTATGGGATTTAAATTCCTTCACAGGGATGCTCAAAAAATTGGAATAGGAAAAGTAGATAATGAAGTCTTGATAAAAACTTAATATTGTATTAGTCTTGCATATCCTATTTGCATTGGCAACGGGAATTTCTCCATAACTAGCAAGCATGGCCATCAGAGATAGCTCTGATAACTATGTATTAAATAGTCCAGAATAAAAAAAAAATCTTTACACACAGAAATCTGCATGCCAGAGAGAAGACATGAATATCTTTCCGTGTGTATTTAATTTTATACTTTGTCATAGTTTTTGATATTCATTTCAATGTTTCAATTCATTCTTAAGACCCACTGCTACTTGTAATTATTGTATAGCACAGTATATTTGGTTTTTCTCCAAGGGTAATTCTGGCATGCATTTTATAATGACTGGGAGGGCTGTTGGGAAAAATCTCTTTAAATACTGAAAATAGTCTGGAAATAAATTAAGTTCAAATAAAATATAAATTTTCTTTAAAACCCTTAATTTTATAACTTTTACAAAAATGTAGATACCTATCCCTTTTTAATATTTAAGCCGATCAGACAAATATCAAACTGGAAAACAAGAAAGCTATAATAAATGAGCAATAAAATGTTATTAGTAGTCCAACACAAGCGACAGCATTTGTATCTTCCAGTCTCCCCCATCCCATATATGAATATATCCTCCATGCATGGAAGACCATTCACACATTTCAACTTTTCCCCCTCCTTTTCACTATTCCCACATTCCCACACAAGGAAGAACTATATTATCTCATGTGCTTCAGCTTCTTAGCTAGTCTCTTCTTACACAAAATGTGAGATACTAAAACCTCTGGCTCCTTATCATGAGCTCAGTATCTCTCCACTGCTCCTCCCAATACTGCTTCCCACAATACAGCTAGGTTTACATCTAATGAATACTTATTTATTTGTATCCCACCTTTATTATTTTTACACATAACTCAAGGCAGTGAACATATCCATCACATCTTCCTCCTCCTAATTTCCCCACAACCACTACCCTGTGAGGCAGGTTTTCGCCACCCAAAATAAACAATACAGTTGACCAATTCTCACAGTAGGTTGAAGCTCAAACTACACAATTCTATTTCATCTTGGTGTGTTGCCTAAAAACACAATAAATATCCAATCTATGAGCTTGGGCTAGCCTCATACTTCTCACCTCCCCATTACTGTACTAGAATAGAGGAGACTCTCCCCACCAGCCACACCGGGAACCCTCTTCCCCAATCACTGTATAAGTACCAACTTCAACCCTTTAGAGAGCTTTTCCAACTCTGCCCGCCAGTAATGTAGGAGGGATGCTCCCCCTCCCCTCATTAGCATGAGGGACATTTTCCCTTCCACCCCCAATAATGTATGAGGCCCCCTCCCCTTATCTTGAGGGGGACATCTTCCCTCCCCTCAAAAATGTGTGAGGAGACACTCTCCATTGAGTTAGAGCAGAGTTTTCCCTCCCCTCCCCAATAATGTATGAGAAGACCCCCTCCCCTCATTACCCTGAGGGGGAGATTTTCCTCCAACCAATAATATACAAGAGTCCACTACCCCTCATTAACATGTGGGCACTTACACTCCCTCCTATTATCTTGAGGGGAGATTTTTCCCTCCCCCTAATAATGTATGAGCCTCCCCCTCCCCTCTATCTTGAGGGGAGATTTCCCCCTCTCCCCTTTATCTTGAGGGGAGACTTTCCCCCCCAATAATGTATGAAGAGCCCCCATTATCTCGAGGGAAGATTTCCCCTCCCCCTAATAATGTATGAGCCCCCCTCCCCTCTATCTTGAGGGGAGATTTCCCCCCTCCCCTCTATCTTGAGGGGAGACTTTCCCCCAATAATGTATGAAGAACCCCCCATTATCTCGAGGGAAGTTCCCCTCCCCCTAATAATGTATGAGCCCCCCCTCCCCTCTATCTTGAGAAGAGTTCCCCCCCTCCCCTCTATCTTGAGGGAGACTTCCCCCCCCAATAATGTATGAAGAGCCCCCATTATCTCGAGGGAAGATTTCCCCTCCCCCTAATAATGTATGAGCCCCCCTCCCCTCTATCTTGAGGGGAGATTTCCCCCTCTCCCCTCTATCTTGAGGGGAGACTTTCCCCTCCAATAATGTATGAAGAGCCCCCCCCATTATCTTGAGGGAAGATTCCCTCCCCCCAATAATGTATGAGCCCCCTCCCCTCTATCTTCAGGGGAGACTTTCCCTCCCAATTATGTATGAAGAGCCCCCCTCATTATATTGAGGGGAAAATTCCCCCTCCCCTCAATAATGCATCAGGAATCCCCCTCCCCTCATTATCTTTGGTGCGACTTTTCACACCCCCCCCCCATAAAGTACGAGGAGTCTCCCCCTCCCCTCACTAAGACGCGAGGAGGCATTTTCCCTCCTCCCCAGCAACGAACGAGAGGGCATCCCACCCCCTTCCATTCACTTGAGGGAGGCGAGGCATCTTCCCTCCTCCAGGATCAACGAGCTTTTCGAAAAAGGCTTCCTCACCCGACCCACTTTATGAAAGATTTCCCCTCTCCCTCCCGCCGCCTTCTCCCTCTCAGAACTGCAAAGGGGAACAACTGTCCCCCCCCCCCCTCCGGAGGACTTCGGGCATGGAAGTCGCCCTGGAACCCCCTCAGACCAGCCTTCCTTCTGGCCTACCTGCTGCTGAGGCGCCTCCGAGGGCGCAGAGCAAGGAGCCCAGCGTCAGTAGCACGAGCCTGGCCGCCATGACCGCTCCGCTGCCGATGCCTCGCACAGTTCACACGTTCGAGCCGGTCTCACTTCGTCCGCCTAAGGCGCTGAGCCCTTCAAGGGGGCTAAAGGGGCGAGCCGGAAAGGCGATAGCCAATAGCGGACGAGCGCGAGGAGCCCCGAGTTAACTACTGGCCCAAACCCGTTGGAATGACGCAAAGGCTGTCCACTCAGAATTCGGGATTCGAAAGGGCGGGGATAAAGTGGGAAGTTGGTTAGAGGACTTTGAAATGACAGTCATGAGTCGCAGCCAATCGTAGGTGAAGAAGTGATCGGCCTGGCTGATGGTTGGACGCTGACGGAACTGATTCTTGAGAAGCGATTGTGTGGCTTAGGGCAACCCAGGAGGGGCGGAAAAAGTGAGATGGAGAAGGAAAGGCCCTCGGGAAAGAGCAGGCCTTAAACCTTTATAATGTTCATGATTTTGGCGAGACAAGCTACTGACCTCTACGCTATCACGTACGCCAATAGGCGGGCGCAACAGCAACGACCAATCAGATTCCTGAGAAATCTGCGCTGTCCAATCAGAGTATGGCGTCTGCAGACTGATAGCAGCCCAAGCCAATCCGCCATCTCCGCTAAAAAGACATGTGCGCCCATACAGGCTATTCTCACCTCTCGACGGATACTGACGGCCAACCACAAGGCGAGGAAATAGCCGTTCCGCCCACTTTCCAGCCCCTCCCTGTTTACTATGGATCGTGTAGAAGGACACGAGACCGTCAAAAGCGCTACGTTGACCTCGCTGGAGGTTATGGGCCCGAGGGGGCGGGGCGCGTTCGTTGAGTAATAAACCTTGCCTTATGGAAATTATTGTGCAATGAATAATTATGAAATCACGCTTCGATTAAATTCCTAAAATCAGGTTTTAGACACATATAAAAAGCACAATGATCAGCAACCACGAAGCTTCAATCCGTGTAAAAGGAACTATGGTTTCATAAACCAGCTTAATCTTAGAAAGGTGTAAAAAAAAAACGTAAGACGCATCCAAGAAGGAGAAAGACTTTCAAAGCCGAGGTGGCGCAGCAGTTAGAGTGCAGTACTGCAGGCCACACATTGCTTACTGGTGTACACCGCTTAGAGAGTGCTTGCACTTAAAGCGGTATATAAGTCTCATAAATAAATAAATAAATGATTGACGTTTCAGAGTCTCTGTGTTTAGGAGCAGTCTACCCCTACCCACTTGCTCTCCCAGTCGCTGCTTCCAGAGACTTAACCAGCTCAAGAGGAAAACCAAATTTTGTTTGCAAGCAAGCCACGCAAGAGCTTCTATCCCCTTTGACTCTACTGGAGTTAAGAGATTAATCCAACTCATAATGTCAGGTTATATATTCCTGCACAGAACTAAGTCTTAATTTGTAGAGGTAGTCCTCGACTTATGACCACAATTGAGCCCCAAATTTTTGTTGCTAAATGAAACATTTAAGTGAATTTTGCCCCATTTTACGAACTTTTCACGCTACAGTTGTTAAGTGGGTTACTGCAGTTAAGTTAGTAACAGGGTGGTTAAGTGAATCTGGCTTCCCCATGTGGGGGAAATTTAAAAATAAAAATATATATGCTTTTAGTATTATCATGTAATTATATTTTATAATTATCATTGTATAATCAATTGCCTGAGTAGATGCTTCAAGTATATAGGAAAAATACAAGCCTCAAGTGGGCGGGGGGGAGAACAGGAGTTACCATGGGGCCTAGTGTGAATCACCATCTAGGAATTGTTTTTAAGTACTTTCTGGTGCCTGGTATCCCTACTGGATCTAACAGGTGTAGAAGATGGGAGACATCTCTCCTCTAGAATTGATATAGGATAATAGGGGAGGGATCTTATTTGTATAATGTATTCTGTTTAGGCGCTTCTGATAGATTGTAACCTCCAAAGCCTAAGCCAATGGGGCCATGAGGAAGGGAATGGGACGTCACCATAGGATGTATAATAATGTGATTTTGGAATTTGGGGTGTGGTTTGGTGCTTGGCTATATTGCATTGCCTTCCTGAATCCACCATGCTTTGCAAACCGTTATTTTTTTAGACTTTGTTGTGAAGTCTAATAAGTTTCTTTTCTATTTGTAACTCAGAGTGGATTTCAATTTGTGACTATTTTTGTGTCTTAACACCCAGTCACTGCTTGTAATAAGGTCACAAAAGGGGATCACATGACCATGGGACACCACAACCATCATAAACAGAGGTCAGGTGCCAAGCATCTGAATTTGGATCATGTGACCATGGGGATGCTGCAATGGTCATAACTGTGAAAACAGTCATAAATCATTTTTTCAGTGCTATTATAACTTTGAACACTAAATAAACTTTTGTAAGTTGAGCACTACCCGTATCTCAAGACCAGTTTTATTTTATTGCTATTGATTTGCACAACTCTTTTCCATAATGGGAAAAAAAACCCATTCATTTCCCAGTTCCAGCAATGCTTCAGGGGGACAATCCTATTAGCACAAACCATTTGGTGTTATAAGGCAACAAACATAACTGGCTTCATGTATTCTTCACTAAGCTATTTTTAAACCCTGATTTGTGGAAGAAATCAAAGCAGGCTAGGTTTATACATGGCACTAAAGCACAATTTATGGATTAACGTCAAAAGGTTTTACAAATATATATTATGGTTCAGTGTGATGCATGAGTTCAACCCATAACACACTTAGAATATACTACATCCAGTTTTGATCACCATATTGTAAAAAAAATGTTGAGACTCTGGAAAGCGTGCAGAAAAGAGCAACAACGATTATGGGCTGGAGGCCAAAAAGATATGAATAACAGTTGCAGGAATTGGCTATGTCTAGTCTAGTGAAAAGGACTAACCAGACATGATAACAGTGTTTCAATATTTGAGGGATTGCCCCAAAGAAGAGGGAGTCAAGCTATTCTCCAAAGCACCTGAAGGCAAGACAAGAAGCAAAGGATGGAAATTAATCAAGGAGAGAAGCAACCCAGAACTAAGGAGAAATTTCCTGACAGTGAGAACAATTAACTAGTGGAATGGCTTGCATTCAGAAATTCTGCGTGCTCTAACACTGCAGATTTTAAAGAAGAGATTGGACAACCATTTGTCTGAAATGGTATAGGGCTTCCTGCCTGAGCAGGCGGTTGGACTAGAAGATGAAGTGAGGAAAGCTAAGGTTCAAAACGAACTAAGGCTTGCGACAAAAGTCAAAAATAACAACAAAAAAAGCTTCTTTCAACATGTAAAAAACAAGAAAAAAGTTAAGGAAATAATTGGTCCATTACTGTGAGAAAGTGGCAAGAATGTGACAAACAATAGGGAGAAAGCAGAACTACTTAACTTGGTTGTTTTTGCATCTGTCTTTATACAAAAGAAAAAAACAGCCCAACCCATCAAAAACAGTACCGTTAAAAAAAAGATTAAAAACACAAGTTAAGATAGGCAAGAAAATGGTAAGGGAAAAGGAGAGCATGAGAGGCCAGGAGGGATAGGACAGGGGAGAGGGAAACCAGCCTTACTGGGATGCATCCGGCCACGTGGGACCTCGGCGAGTTAGCGGGCGGCTGGTTGAAGAGGGACTGTTGCCATCTCCGAGGCAGGGCGCGCGTGCCCACAGAGAAGGCTCTGAGTGCCGACTCTGGCACGTGTGCCATAGGTTCGCCACCACTGGTCTAGTGATTAAGGCACCGGGCTAGAAAGCAGGAGACTGTGAGTTCTAGTCCCATCGTGACTTTGGGCCAATCACCCGGAGACGGTGAGTTCTAGTCCTGCCTTAGGCAGGAAAGCCAGCTGGGTGACTTTGGACCAATTACCAGGAGACGGTGAGTTATAGTCCCGCCTTAGGCAGGAAAGTCAGCTGGGCGACTTTGGGGCCAGTCATCCTCTCAGCCCAACCCACTTCACAGGGTTGTTGTTGTTGTGGGAATAATAGGAGTTGAATAAGTTGGATAAGTCTATTGGATAAGTTCCCTGTCTTGAGAGATTTGTAAAAACAATAAAGGTAGGATGCAAATAATGAATAAAATAACTATGTAGTCGTGCTGGGACAGTTCAGCATCAATTGGGAGACCGAACAAGATGAATTTCCCGCCTTTTTCCACCTCAGTGAACCTCAGCAATCTTTATTTTCTATACTAGGGGTAGGCAACCTTGTCTTTCTTATGACTCGTGGACTTCAACTCCCAGAATTCCTGAGCCAGCCATGCTGAGGGGACAGGGAGAGATTTCCAAGCTGAGCCGTGTTGGCTCAGGAATTCTGGGAGTTGAAGTCCACCAGTCATAAAAGAGCCAAGGTTGCCTACCCCCGTTCTACACTTCTGCACAAAGGAAGCTTTGTTGTAATCTGAACCTTACAGTCTCCATCAGTACTGCAGGAAACCCTGAGCTTCCTACATCACAAACCCCCTCCAAAAATAGTTAATTTCACCTGGCTGAGAAGTCTCAAAAAGCTTGCAAAACTTTGCATGCAGTGAAGTTCGGTGAGGTTTCATAATTCTCACCTGGGACTTGGCACCCTTCCAAGATTTTAGGCCGTTGGGAGACTATGGACTAACGTGCATACTTTATCTCCATTTTGAGCTGACAAAATTCTCTCTCACAATGATGCTTTACTATCATTTTAGAACAATCCCCCCCCCCACATACAGCCTCCAGAGGTTGCAAGGCTGCCGAACATGACAAAAAAAAAAAAAAACACTTCCTTTCAAAATCCTTTTATTAAATAGCTTCAAATCCAGAAAAACAGAAAAAAGCAAAATATATATATCCCATCCCCTGCCAACCCATTTCCCCTTCCCCAATTCTACAAAACAGTCGATTTCTGCCCATTAGACTCCCACTGCTTCCTAAAAGCCCCCCACCCACGCACCCCAGGTGCAAATTCTAGCAACTTCCACCCTAGAGAATGGGGCATAATTTCACAAATCAGGAAAGCAACATCAAAGGCAAGCAGAGTGGATTTCCATTCAGTGCTCAGTGAGACAGGGACCCCCCTGGGTAAAAATAAATAAATAAAAACACAACAGCCCCACCCCACCCATACGCAAACACCATTATTTGCTTGTGAAAAGGAAAAAAAAAAACTTGGATTTAGCAAAGTCCTCTGTCTACAGCAGAGAGAGGACATTTTGAAGTGGGCAATTCCCTCCCGGTCTAAAAGATGGACGTCAAATCCTAGGGATCAGCCAAAAGAGCGCTAGCTCAAAGGAATAAAGTTTCAAAAGGCAGGAATGCAGGAGAGAGAGAAGGAGAGAGAGAGGGAGGGAGGGAGGAAGAGGAGAGAGAGTGAGAGAGAGCAGAGGTCTTCAAACTTGGCCCTTTTATGACTTGTGGACTTCAACTCCCAGAATTCCGGCTGAGGAACTCTGGGAGTTGAAGTCCACAAGTCATAAAAAGGGCCCCATTTGAAGACCCCTGTATTAAGAGAATCGTGGCCCTTTCCGAGTTAGGGTCTTTCTGATTTTTCAAAGCAGTTGTGGGACAGTTGGATTTTGAAATTTCTGAGGGAATTCAAGGCTTGGCTACTGGTCTTTGTTAATCTACTCTCCATCTTCTCTCTCTGGGTTCAAGGGGAGACATCCAGGCTGGACAGAATCTCTTTCTCCCATCAGGGCTTTGTCTTTTCAAGATGGCCTGGTGTTTGCTTTCTACAGTGAAAATCAGGAGAGGAATCCCTGGAGGAGGAGGAGGTGAGAAGAAGGAAGACCAAGGCCCTTCCCTCACAATTTACTTGGCTGTAGGTATGGGGCCTGCTCAATCAGAGCTGTGGCCTCCTACCAGCTATCTAACCTTTGCTCAAGATCTCTGGAAAAAGTGGAGGGAGGTGAGCTTCAGAAAGATGCTACTTGGTGAAGCTGGTAGAGAAGACGGGGTGCATCCTAGGACGTTTACTTCAGGGCCTGTCCCACATCCAGCTATGATTTCTCTGGGAACTGAGGTGGATAGCTTTTTGGCTACGGTTTAGCTGTACACCCAAAGATGGAGAAACAACACGCAATGCTGCACAACAGACAGCCCACCTCCTCTTTCATTCCCCGTGACTCCAGGAATCCAGGGGTAGGCAAACCTTGGCTCTTTTATGACTCGTGGACTTCAACTCCCAGAATTCCTGAGCCAGCATGGCTCAGTATGGAAACCTCTTCCTGTCCCCTCAGCATGTCTGGCTCAGGAATTCTGGGAGTTGAAGTCCATGAGTCATAAAAGAGCCAAGGTTGCCTACCCCTACCCCAGGCAGTGACTTGTTCTCCGTTCCTTTGCTTGCCAGGGAGTTGGGGGGCTCTCCCCAAAAGAAAGTCAAGCCAAGGAAAGAGAAAAGGAAGCAGATTAAGCCATCATCGAGGCCATCTTGGTTAAGCAGAACTTTGACGGAGCACCTGAGCCGAGGCCCCTGTGCTCTGGAGCGAATTGGCACTGGCAATAAGGAAGGAGCCATCTTTCTCCCATGGAGGGAACCTCGGCAGGCTTCCTGGCCGTGTCTCCACAGCGAACGAGAGGGAAACATCCACTTCACAACTCCTGCCTCTGCTTTACACACACGGTCTGGCCAAGATGTCACCCTGACCTGTCCGGTGCAGCTAAGAAATCCTCGCCAGAAATTCTCCCCTGTATTTTTCTTTTGGCCGTTGTTACAGGAAAAACGACCCATTTCACAAAAGCCGTTCCAAACCTCGCACTCGGTTCCTGCCTCCTGAAGGTATCCGTCCACCTCCTTTGCGTTGGGTCCCGAACACCCCGCCAGCCGGCCGGAGCAACGGCTCAGGATGAACCAGAAGTCGCTTCCATCCGCCCAAATCCTCCCCTAATAAAAGAAAATTTTAAAAAAAGGAAAAAAAAAAAAAGGTCGAAGCCCAAAACACACACAGCAACTGAAGCCCCCTGGGAGATCTCCCACCCCCCCCTCCCCGGTCAAGCAGAAGCCGAGTGTTCCTTTTGAGGTAGAGTTTTTGGTTTCTTTTGTCTCAGGGCCAAAAGGGGGGGGTTCCAGGTCTCAGCCGGTTGCGTCCTGGGTTCAAGTATGAGTCAGGTAATTTATTGCTACTATCAGGTGCAGCAGCAGGAGGCAGCGGTGGAGGGAAGGGGGCAGGAAGGGGGGGCACGGGAGAAGGGGGGACAGGGAGGCGGGGAATCCCTCGTCAAGACTCCTCGTTGCCGGAGTCGTCCTCGTCCCCGTAGCAGCTTTCCACCTCGTCGTCCATTTCGTCGTCTTCGTAGTAGTCGTCGTAGAACAGGTCGGAGCCTTCATCCGGGGCGGGCGTCTTGGTCTTGACGCAATACTCCGCTAACGTGGTGGGGACTTTGACGCCGTCCCTTTCGGCGTCCACCTTGGTTCCCAGGACTTGTTTCCTGGAAAGAGAGAAGTTCATTTGTACGGCCCCGGTGGCGGAGTGGTTAGAATGCGGCACAGGTAATCCTTGACTTACAACAGTCGGTTTGGTGGCCGAAGTGACAACGGCACCGGAAAAAAAGGGACTGTTTTTCACTCTTATCACCATTGCCCCGACCCCACGGTCACGTGACCAAAACTCGGTTGCTTGGCAACTGACTCACATTTATGACTTTTGCAGCGATCCCCTTTTGAGACCTTCTGACAAGCAAAGTCAATGGGAGAAGCCACGTTCGCTTAACAGCCTGGTTGCTGTTCTAACAACTGCAGCGATTCGTTTAGCAAATGTCGCAAGAAAAATCGTAAAATGGGGCAAAACTCCAGTTAACAAATATCTCACTTAGCAACATAAATTCTGGGCTTGACTGCGATCATAAGTCGAGGACTACCTGTGTGGCAAGCTAACTCTGCATTTCTACTGGCCAGGAGTTCAATCCTCAAGGATTGACTCAAGTTTGATTCAGCCTGCCATCCTTCTGAGGTTGGTAAAATGAGGATCCAGATTGTTTGGGGAGGGGGGGTGTTGAACAAGATGCTGACTCCATAAACCACTCAGAGAGGGCTGTAGAGTACTATGAAGTGGTATATAAGTCTAAGTCAGTGGTTCTCAACCTGTGGGTCGGGATCCCATTTGGGATCGAACGACCATTTCACGGGGTCACCAAACAACGCAGTCTGCCATTTTTTCCCCCTTTTCCTTAGCTGTGCTACTCCCTTTTATTCTATTGGCTTTTGAAAGCCAATAGAATAGACTCTCTTGAATAGAGTCTAATTCTATTGGCTTTCAAAAGTCAATAGGAATTGTCCAGGCTGTCTCTGCCCTGCTGAGCCCGCCAAAAGTCCCATTCTGCAAGCGGTGCTGCACCAGTTGAGTAGTCCTCGACTTACGACCAGTTGAGTAGTCCTTGACTTACGACCGGTTGGGGGTCGCGGCATTAAAAAGGTTGAGAACCACTGGTCTAAGTGCTACTGCTATTCATTTGTGCCAGGTTAGCGAAGCCGTGATGCTCCAATGGAAGGAGGTGGCAGGTCTCCTGGCTGGCCTTTCCACCCTAAGCATCACGGCCTGTGGTGGAATCAGCAACTGAAGTCGTGGATGGAGTTAAGAGAGTGGCTGACATGGAATCCCTTTGAGGAGGAAGCGATGGAGACCTCACCCTCCTTAAATCCCAGGAGTGCTTATCTGGCGGCGCAGAGAAGCCGGGGTTAGAATGCAGCATTGCAGGCTGACTCTGCCCGCTGCCAGCAGTTCGATCCTGATAGGGCTCAAGGTTGACTCAGCCTTCCGTCTTTCCGAGGTCAGTAAAATGAGGATCCAGATTGTTGGGGTCAATATGCTGGCTCTGTAAACCGCTCAGAGAGGGTTGTAAAGCACTGTGAAGCGGTATATAAGTCCAAGTGCTATTGTTATCTCTAGAGATGAATGTCAGGCGCAAGGAACATGCTGGCTCTCGTGGTTAGGACGCTGGGTTGGAGGCTGGCAAGCCCACGTTCGAGATCCGAGTGCTGCCGTGGGACGTGGTGAGCTCCTGTCATTCGCTCCAGCTCCTGCTGGGGACGTGAAAGGAGCCCCTCACTGGGCATCAGGTGATGCTAATCTTTTCAACTCGGAAGTGCCTTGGTGCTTCGAGTGAAATGTCAGGTGGAAGAACAACACGGTAAGCTGATCAAAGGAGTTTCTTTATTGCTACTATTTACAGAAATCTTGCCAGACTTCACTAACGCCAACGATTTTTTTCTTGGGCGGATCAGGAATTCCATGCTAACCAGACTCTTAACTCATCACACACACACACACAGACACACACACACACCACTTCCACTGCGATTCCACCAAATGGTCTCTGCTAAGATCCCATGATTAACTCTGCAATCTGCCCAGATTGCAACAGTTCAGAATTACAGAATAACAGTCCAGCCCCTGCTCATGCAGGAGACTTTATACCTTTTCAGACAAGTGGCTTTCCAGTCTCTTCTTAAAAACCTCCAGTGTTGGAGCACCCACAACGTCTGCAGGCAAGCTGTTCCACTGGTTAATTGTTCTCACTGTCAGGAAATTTCTCTTTAGTTCTAGCTTGGATCACTCTTTGGTAAGGTTCCATCCGTTGCTTCTTTGTCCTGTCCTCTGGTGCTTTGGATAACAAGTCAATCCCCTCTTCTTCGTGGCAGCCCCTTAAATACGAAGACTGCTATCCTGTCACCCCCCAGTCCTTCTTTTTGTTAGACTAGGCCAGGGGTAGGCAACCTTGGCTCTTTTATGATTCCTGGACTTCAACTCCCAGAATTCCTTAATCACCGTGATGATTTGCTTAACAACCACCACAAAAAAAGGTTAAACAACAACAACAAGAAGTCAGTCACATAACTTACCGCCTGTAATAGGCAAATCCATTAAGGCCATTAAGTCGAGAAGAACCTGTAATAACTGCAAGACTGGGAGGAGTCCGGTGTGACCAGTTCATCTCCCAAACTGGGCGTCCCACTAACCTGATGATGTCCGTGTATTCTTGATCCTTCCCTTTGCTTTCTTTCCACTTTCTGTACATCACCGAAGCGTCAACGTTGGCCGGAGAGAACGTGTTTGGTTCGTTGAGGAGCGAGATCACGCTAAGAAGAATTGTTCTGATAGGGGAAAACATTTTTTTAAAAAAATAGCGTATTAAAATAACACGGCTTAATTTAAGTACAGGTGGTCCTTGGTTTAAGACGTGAGCGCTCGGTGACGATTTGAAGTCACGATGGGCCACTCCAAAGCCACAGGTAATCCTCGACTTGCTACAGTGCATTTAGTGACCATTCGAAGTGACAATGACACTGAAAAAAGTGACTTACAACCTTTTCCCACACTTACAACTCTTGGTAGCATCTCCGAAGGGTCAAAATTCAGACACTTGGCGACTGAATCATATTTATGACGGTGAACTGGGGTCATGTGACCCCCTTTTGCAATCTTTTGACGAGCAAAGTCAACGGGGAGAAGCCGGATTCACTTAACAACCGTGCTGCTAACTGAACAGGTGCAGTGAGTCACTTAACAACGATGGCAAGAAAGGTTCTAAAATGGGGGAAAAACTCAACTGTCTCACTTAGCAACAGAAATTTTGGGCTCAGTTGTGGTCGCAAATTGAGGACTAACTGTACTTATCCATTTCTGAAGTTATGACAGCCATCTGTGAATGCTCCAACACTGGAAGTTTTAAAGAAGAGACTGGACAGCCATTTGTCTGAAATGGTATAGGGTTTCCTGACTGAGCAGGAGGTTGGACTAGATGACCACCAAGGTACCTTCCAACTTTTATTTTATTTTATTATTATCTCTCCATGTGACCGCATTTCAGGCATGAAGGAATCAGCCTGCATTTAGGGCTGCAATGCCTGATAGTCATGTGGCTGCGATTTGTGACATTTTTGCTGAAAACAGGTACGGATAGTCCTCAACTTACAACCACAATTGAGGCCAAAATTGTTGTTGTTAAGTGATTCGTTTGTTAAGTGAGTTTTGCCCCATGTTACGACTTTTCTGGCCACTGCCTTTCTTAAGCAACACGGTTGTTAAGTGAATCGGGCTTCCCCCATTGACTTTGCTTGTCAGAAGGTCGCAAAAGGTGGTCGTAGCAAAAGGTGATCACGTGACCTTCCCCAAGATGCTGCAACCGTCATAAACATGAGTCAGTTCCAAGCATCTGAATTTGGATCATGTGACCATGGGGATGTTACAAAGGTCGTAAGGGTGAAAAACGGTCATAAATCACTTTTTTCAGTGCCGTTGTAACTTTGAATGGTCGCTAAATTGTAAGTGAGGACTACCTGTATTAAACTAAAAGGAACTTAAATCAGGGGAGGGGGGGGAATGGCCAGATCTTAGCACTGTTTTCATTTCTGTAATTGCATTCCAGCTACTAATATCCCAGTTTCTTCAACTAGACCAGGGATAGGCAACCTTGGTTCTTTTATGACTCGTGGATTTCAACTCCCAGAATTCCTGAGCCAGCCATGCTGAGCGGAAAGTGAGAGGTTTCCATGCTGAGCCATGCTGGATCAGGAATTCTGGGAGTTGAAGTCCATGAGTCATAAAAGGGCCAGGTTTTAAGACTCCTGCTCTTAATCTTTGTCCTAGGACAGGGGTAGGCAACCTTGGCTCTTTTATGACTTGTGGACTTCAACTCCCAGAATTCCTGAGCCAGCATGGCTCAGCATGGAAACCTCTCCCTTTTCCCTCAGCATGGCTGGCTCAGGAATTCTGGGAGTTGAAGTCCACGAGTCATAAAAGAGCCAAGGTTGCCTGCCCCTGGGCTAGGCCTAGACCGCTTTCTGACTCGTGGACTTCAACTCCCAGAATTCCTGAGCCAGCATGGCTCAGCTTGGAAACCTCTTCCTGTCCCCTCAGCATGGCTGGCTCAGGAATTCTGGGAGTTGAAGTCCACGAGTCATAAAAGAGCCAAGGTTGCCTGCCCCTGGGCTAGGCCTAGACCGCTTTCTGACTCGTGGACTTCAACTCCCAGAATTCCTGAGCCAGCATGGCTCAGCATGGAAACCTCTCCCTTTTCCCTCAGCATGGCTGGCTCAGGAATTCTGGGAGTTGAAGTCCACGAGTCATAAAAGAGCCAAGGTTGCCTGCCCCTGGGCTAGGCCTAGACCGCTTTCTGACTCGTGGACTTCAACTCCCAGAATTCCTGAGCCAGCATGGCTCAGCTTGGAAACCTCTTCCTGTCCCCTCAGCATGGCTGGCTCAGGAATTCTGGGAGTTGAAGTCCACGAGTCATAAAAGAGCCAAGGTTGCCTACCCCTAAGCTAGACTATTGTTCATAGCACAAACTGAGGGATCTGTTTTTAAAAATTATTTTTAAATGTGGCTAAGAAGGAAGGAAGGAAAACTCACCTTACATTCTGCGTTGGGTTCCACCTTTCTGAGGGTAACTCTCCGCTTTGCGGGTCATCCACTGGAGGATGTAGAATTGAAATGCAAACATCTCCAGTCTGGAAGGTATAAATCATGTGTCTGCTTTGCACGCTCGCACACACAGGCTGAGTTCACACAATGTTCATTCAAAAATCCAGATGATTTACCACACGTGTAAACAAAGGATATGTTCACCGAACATACAGTGGTCAAGGAAATGTATCATATGACGGCTTAAGGCAGAGGTGAGGTACTATGGCCCCCTTTATGACCTGTGGACTTCAACTCCCAGAATTCCTGAGCCAACTATGTTGAAGTCCCCAAGTCATTAAAGGGCCATAGTTCCCCACTTCTGGCTTAAGAGGATAGACCAAGTTATACAGTTAATCCTCGACTTGTGATTGGTTGCTTAGAGACCATTTGAAGTGATGACCAGCCTAAAAAAAGGAGACCTATGACCCAGATTTGAAGTACTGGCAGACAGGCCTCTGTGGTCACATGATCAAACTTCAGGTGCTGGCAAAATGGCTTCATTTATGGCTGTTTGCAGTATTCCGCAGTCACAGGATCACTGCATTTTCCTTATTGCATAAGTGCTCAACTTATGACCACCAGTGAGCCCAAAGCTTCTGCTGCTAAGTGAAACAGTTAAGTGAATTTTGCCCCATTTTACAACCTTCCTTGTCATAGTTGCTAAGTGAATCACTGCCTCTGTTAAGTTAGCAACGCAGTTGTTAAATGAATCTGGCTTTCCCCATTGGCTTTGCTTGTCAGGAGGGGATCACATGACCCCAGGACACTGCAACCGTCGTAAGTACGAGTCAGTGGCCAAGTGTCCTAATTTTGATCACGTGACCCTGGGGATGCTGCAATGACTGTGTGAAAAATGATCATAAATCATTTAGTGATTGTAACTTTGAATGGTCACTAAATGAATGGTTGTAAGGTGAGGACTACGTGTATATATACATTACTAAAATAAAATAACCTTTCCCCCCACGTTGGTTCGATTCCTTAATTAGAAAGTATTTGTTTGCTTGTTTTCATTGAAACTATGGAGGTTCTCAGTCATCCAGGTCAAGGTTGTCCCAAAGGTGCTTTTTTCAAGAGGCAACTGGACTTTTGGGGGTTTTTTTCCTTGAAAACATTTCACTTTTCATCCAGGAAGCTTCCTCAGTTCTGACTGAACGATGGAGGATGGAAGGATTTATATTCCTTGCAGTCATCTGGTTGTTAGCACTCCTTCTGAGAATCGTTGAGGCCACTTGGAGATTTATCTGTTTACCTCAGGATCACCTGTGTAGAATAAATCTCCGAGTGGCCTCAATGATTCTCAGAGGGAGTGCTAACAACCAGGTGACCGCCAAGGAATAGAAATCCTTCCATTCCCTGCCGTTCAGTCAGAACTAAGGAAGTTTCTTGCATGAGAAGTGAAATGTCTTCAAAGAAAAAACCCAAGTGATCCCCTCCTGACAAGCAAAGCCAATGGGGGAAGCCAGATTCGCTTGAAAAAAAAACCCCACACACCTTTGGGACTCATTCATCACTGATTGCCCAGAACATACCTTCAAGACTCTGGAAGGTATCCGATTGTGCAAAGTTGCTTAATAAATAGAGGAGTGCCACAAAAAACCTTCCCCTGTACAAAATCCAGTGAGATCTTACCAGTGCAGTACAAAGAGGTGCTAACGCTTAGCACAGTGGTTCTCAACCTGTGGGTCGGGACCCCACTTGGGGTTGAACAACCATTTCACGGGGGTCGCCAAACAACACAGTCCGCCATTTTCCTCCCCTTTTCCTTAGCTGTGCTACTCCCTTTTATTCTATTGGCTTTTGAAAGCCAATAGAATAGACCTTCTTGAATAGAGTCTACTTCTATTGGCTTTCAAAAGCCAATAGGAATTGTCCAGGCTGTCTCTGCCCTGCTGAGCCCGCCAAAAGTCCCATTCTGCAAACGGTGCTGCACCAGTTGAGTAGTCCTCGACTTACGACCGGTTGAGCAGTCCTCGACTTACGACCGGTTGGGGGGGGGTCGTGGCATTAAAAAGGTTGAGAACCACTGGCTTAGCATGATCTTGATAGTAAACCTCTGCTGTTGCAGCCTAGGACTGACTGCACTGGGGGTCGATCCTCCGGGGCACCGAGAGACCGAATAAGGAAGATTTGAAATGAATACCGAGAAGGTATTCCGGTCTGATACTTAAGCATAAGGGAGCCAAAGGGACCGAGGTGCTGTATCCATTTTTTTGCAAGAGAAGACCACGGCTGACATCAGGCTCACGTCCAGCCCTGGCCCGAGCACGTACCTCATATATGTTGGGATGCCACATTTTGGTCAGGAAGCGGAAGGCAGGCGGCGAATAAGGGTAATCAATGGGAAATCTGAGCCGGGCCTACGGAGAAAGAAGGAAGAAGGAAGAGAGAGGGACTGAGTAGCGACACCAGGCATCCTAACAACAATTTCTGCAATGGCTTCCCTCTTCCTTCAATAAATCTTGCTAAAGACGACTCTGAGGCTACTTTGCTTTCTCTGCGCTTGGTCGTTTTCTTGCGGACGTTTCATCACCCAACTAGGTAACATCATCAGGGCTAGCAGGGAGTGGGGTTTCCTCTCAATTTATATTCTAGTGCAATGGTGGCGAACCTATGGCATGTGTGCCAGAGGCGGCACTCGGAGCCCTCTCTGTGGGCACACGTGCCGTTGCCCCAGCCTCACCTCCCCCCGCGACCCCTCCTCTCCAGCAGCCCCCCTGGAGGAGAGTCGCCCCCGAGCGTGGCCCAAATGGAGCAGCGCAGCCGAGGACATGGCAGCCAGGCAGCATAGACAAGACTCTGCCCTCACACCCCATCATGCAGTTGATGCTGCAGGGCGCAGGCAAAGGGTGTGGCCGCCATAGTGCTGCTGGGCTGCCTGGGTGATCTGCAGCGGGCCTTGGAGGCGGTGAGTGGTCCTGTAGGCAGGCGGGGCGGGGAATGGGGGGGGCAAAGCAGGGGCGGGGCAGGGGGTGGATTGGGGCTTGGCCAGTTTTTGGGCACTCGGTCTCTAAAAGGTTCGCCATCACTCTTCTAGTGGATTGTCTTGTCCCTGTTGGTGAGAGTGGTCTTGGTGGTTCTTTGATAGTATGGCTAGCTTGCTCGGCAGTTCCTTGATTGGGGTATTGTTTACTTCTTGATCAATGGTTCTCAACCTGTGGGTCGGGACCCCATTTGGGGTCGAACGACCATTTCACGGGGGTCGCCAAACAACGCAGTCCGCCATTTTTCCCCCTTTTCTTTGGCCACGCCACTGGCACCCGGTGATGTATAAGTGGTTGGGGGTCACCACAACATGGGGAACTGTATTATGGGGTCGCGGCATTAGAAAGGTTGAGAACCACTGTTCTTGATGGATGGCCCGATGTCAACCTTGTGTTAATCTATGCTGAAATGGGTGTTGATTGCTGGAGGGAAGATGTTTTGGTCTTAACATCAGACCAGCCATCAAGAATAAACTACACCCCAATCCAGGAACTGCCTGACAAGCTAATAGTAAACAGCCCAACCAAAGAATCACCAAGACTGCTCCCACCAACATCGGCAGGGCAGGTCCCTAGAATAGCTTTTCTCAACCTGGGCAGTTGGAAGATGTGTGGACTCCAACTCCCAGAATTCTAACTGGCTGGGGAATTCTGGGAGTTTCAGTCCACACATTTTCAAACTGCCCAGGTTGAGAAACACTGCACTAGCATATAAATTGAGAGCAAACCCCCATTCCCTACTAGCACTGAGAATGTTAGATAGTTGGGTAATGAAACGTCTGTAAGAAAACAACCAAGCTCAGAGAGTGCCAAGGACTCCACAGTTCAACCTGAGCTACAAATATTCTCCTTTAAAGACAACTCTGCGAGAATCAAGCTTGGAAAAGAATCAATATTGTTCTTAGGCAGATGCCACAGAAGTTGGCTAGGAAGGGCAGAGGGATGACTAGGGATGCGGGGACAAAATCCATCCAGCCAGCCGTTTAATCTCCGCTTTGCCTACCTCGCCGGGTGTTTGGGAGACGATAAAAACCAGAGGAAGGACACAGCTGCCTGCAACACTGAACAATTGTCAAACCCAGCATCTTATACCATGCTAGCTGAGGATGACACACAAGAGAGTTTCCTGGGAAAAAAAAGGTTATGATGAGGCACATAAAGCAGAAGTGAATTCTTTGTTTGTGATTGCAATCACTAAGAGTGTTGCTGAACTTGTGGTCACAAGGTCCAGTCTTGTGCTTGCTCAGCAACAATGCACGAAAGCCAGTCATTTCAACTCTGTTATTTTTATATACAATCATTATTATTATTGTTGTTGTTGTTTGTTGTGTTGATCATCGCACAGTCAGCTAAATGTTCAGACTTGATTTGGCATTTTTGTCTACCTATCGAGTCCTTACCCAGGACCTGGGATAGGCAGATGTGGATGTTTGATGGTATTACAGATATCGTCACAGGATGGAAGCAGTTCCTAGTAAGGCCGCCTTTTGCAATTGACTAATAGCGAATTTGTCAATGCCAATGGTGTTCAAGTGGTGCTCCAGTTGTTTTGGGATTGCACCCAAGGAGCCTATTACTATTGGTACTACCCTTGCTTGCTTTTGCCACAGTCTTTCTATTTCTATTTGTAGGTCTTTGTATTTTGTTATCTTCTCCAGTTCTTTCTCGTCTATTCTGCTGTCTCCAGGCACTGCCACGTCCACTATCCAGACTTTTTTTGTCCTTATCGACAATTGTTAAGTCCGGGGTGTTAAGTTGCAGGTGCTTGTCTGTTTGAATTCTGAAGTCCCAGAGCAGTTTAATTTTATCATTTTCTATGACTTTCTCTGTTTTATGATCCCACCAGTTCTTGCTTACGGGCAAATGATATTTCTTGCAGATCTTCCAATTATTATTACTACTATTACTACTACTATTATTACTATTACTATTATTATTATTTATAAATAACTCCAGGCAACAAACGTACCCTAAATTTACTCCTTCCTCCTATTTTCCCCACAACAATAATCCTGTCAGGTGGGTTGGGCTGAGACAGAGGGGTTGGCCTAAAGTCCTTCAGCCAACTTTCATGCCTAAAGGGGGGGGGGGACTAGAACTCACCATCTCCTGGTGATTGGCCCAAAGTCACCCAGCTGGCTTTTGTGCCCAAGGCATGGGTGCTCCTTTTTGGGATGCTAGTTTGCTCCTGACACTCTAATCATGTAAACACGCACACATGTTATTCACAGTGTAAATAGCACAGAACAAAGTCTGAGTGTCTCTAATCAGTGGACTTGCTGGTAAAGCTTCCGGTAGCCCAAACTAATCTCCCCAATGGCTTGACACTCCCTTCTCCATACAAGTAGTCCTCGACTTACAGCCGTTCATTTAGTGACCGTTTCAGGTTACAAAGGCACTGAAAAAAGTGACTTTACAACCGGTCCTCACCCTTACGATCATCGCAGCATCCCTACTGTCATGTGACAAAAATTCAGACAACTTGGCAACCGGCGTGTATTTGCAACGGTTGCAACATCTCTCTCTCTCTCTCTCTCTCTCTCTCTCTCTCTCTCTCTCTCTCTCTCTCTGTCATATGATCACCATTTGTGACCTTCAATGGTGGGGAAGCCGGATTCAATTAACGACTGAGGTAATTCACTTAACAACCATAGCAAAAAAAAGTCGTAAAAATCAGGCCTGACTTGCAGCAACCGCCATCTTGCTTAACAATTGGGGAATTCTGGTCCCCCACTGTGGTTTGGAAGTCAAGGGCTGCCAAGTCAGGACAAGGTTTAAACCCAGGGCATGGTTTGCTTGTCTGCCAACATCAGGGACCACAAATGAGTCAAGCTGACAACTGCTTGTCCCCACCAACCACACTCTGAAGCCGAACCTTCGGTGAATCTCCCAAGCAGGTGTTGCTGTTCAGGTTTTGGCCTGTCAAACTGGTTGAAGCTGTTTCTCCCCAACTGCTTATCCTGCCACTCATCACTTGTTTGGTTTTTTGTATTGTGTGTGTGTGTGTGTGGAGCAGCCCAGCTTCCAGTCTGTCTAGTCACACCCTACAGGAGACCCGTTCCTTGCCTCTCTGCTCACAAGGAGGCCTTTGAGAATAACACAGGAAAAAACATCAGGGATCCAAATGAATGTAACCTGGTCTCAAATCCTGTAATCCAGGGGTCCCCAACCCACGGTTCGTGGACTAGTACCGGGCCGCGGCATGCCAGCAACTGGTCCACACAAACAAGCAAAGGATTCCGGCAGCACACAACACCATACCCTCCGGTCCGCGGAAAAGCTTCTCTCCATGGAACCGGTCCCTGGTGCCCAAAAGATTGGCGACCTCTGCTGTAATCATCGAACCGGAGGCTGGGACACTTGGTTCCAATAAAGATTACTTAAGCCTGAAAGCCAGCTGAGTGATTTGGGGTAAATCACCAGGAGCTGGTGAGTTCCAGTGTAACCTTAGCCATGAAAGCTGGGTAACTTTGAGCCAATCACCAGGAGCTGGTGAGTTCCAGTGTGACCTTAGCCATGAAAGCTGGGTAACTTTGAGCCAATCACCAGGAGCTGGTGAGTTCCAGTGTGACCTTAGCCATGAAAGCTGGGTAATTTTGAGCCAATCACCAGGAGCTGGTGAGTTCCAGTGTCACCTTAGCCATGAAAGCTGGGTAACTTTGAGCCAATCACCAGGAGCTGGTGAGTTCCAGTCCTGCTTTAGGCATGAAAGCTGCCTGGGTGACTTTGGGCCAGTCACCAGGAGACAGTGAGTTCTAGTCCTGCCTCAGGCATGAAAGCTGACTGGGTGACTTTGGACCAATCACTAGGAGACAGTGAGTTCTAGTCCTGCCTCAGGCATGAAAGCTGCCTGGGTGACTTTGGGCCAGTCACCAGGAGACAGTGAGTTCTAGTCCTGCCTCAGGCATGAAAGCTGACTGGGTGACTTTGGACCAATCACTAGGAGACGGTGAGTTCTAGTCCTGCCTCAGGCATGAAAGCTGACTGGGTGACTTTGGACCAATCACTAGGAGACGGTGAGTTCTAGTCCTGCCTCAGGCATGAAAGCTGACTGGGTGACTTTGGGCCAGTCACCAGGAGATGGTGAATTCTAGTCCTGCCTTAGGCATGAAAGCCAAATGGGTGACTTTGGACTAGTTACTCTCTCTCAGCCCAACCCTCCATAGGGTTGTTGTTGTTGTTGTGGAGGAAAATAGGAGGAAAGTGTGCTAGATATGTTTACTGCCTGGAGTTATTTACAAAAATAATAAGGGAGGGATAAAAATAATAAATATGAAGCTATTTAAGAGTTCCTCGTTTCTGCTTAAGGTGTCTCAAAAACCGGTCTGTGTAAAACACTTCCGTCTGAACCATTTCAAGTTTTGGGGAATGTGTCC